CATGTTGAATGTCTTCAAATTTTGTCCTAGTGCCATAACAAATTATGGCTACTTAGCAAGCAATTGTCTCCTGTCACTAAAGATTGCCCCAGCCAGCCAGAGCTCAGGAAGAAGCTGACCTTGATGCCTATTTCCAGGACATTCAAGTGCTTTTAAACTTCCAGGTCAGAATCAAATTCAATCCTGAAGGATTTGCAGCATGGCTTGCATACTGTCAAGCTTTTCTTCATAAGCATAGGAAACACACTTTTCAAAATGAATATGTTGATTGACAATGTGTTCAGATCTTTTCTTCAGTATTCCTGGGAAAGGAGAGTTTGATTACAAAGGTTTTCCATAGACTCAAAGCCATACTGTGAGAGACCTAAGTCAGAGTCACCATGCTAATATTTCTCGCATTACAAGCATTGCTGCAAATCCAATAAAATTTTCACTCTCTAATGTAATACTTTCTAAGCTGCATGCAGTATGAGCACTGCTGGTTCACCATAAGAAAAAAAAATCATTAAAGGCATTTGTGACCTTAAAATGCCTTATTTCACTTTCTTCCAGCCAGTTTTTTCCTATGAGCTGTTAATTCTGCTCCATCCCTGCATTGGCTGGGACTGGATGCTTCATTGCAGAGACATATCAAGATTATCTGCAGCTCTCAAAAGTTCATTGTGTTCTCTGACTGTGTCATTATCCTAGTTGTTGACCTTATAATCAGGAAGCAAATCTAGATAAGTACTTTATTCAGTAGTGGAGTAGTGAGGTAGCACTCCTCTGAGGAATTGGGCAGTCTTATGATTTTTATTCCTGCAATTTTTATTATGCAAGAATGAAAAGGTTAGGGTATTAGAATTAAGCATATCTTATTCAGAAAGCATGCATCCAGTATCAGAAGTTCAATACATTTTACTGTGATATATTTGTCCCCTTTTTAAAAATATACTTTGAAATACCAGTTGCATGTATTTTAATGTATTAAACAAAATATCGTATCTACCTTAAAGGGAATGAGGAATAGTAACTAGATTCTCCTGGGAAGAGCTGGTATTATCTATGTAGCCTTGAGATATTCCCAATTGCTAGTCTGTTTGTGTTTGTATTTTTCAAGGAATTAGTGGAAACTGTCAATATATTTTGGGCATGTCTTGCTCTGTGGTCCTAAAGTCTAAAAGCTTGTTTCCAAAAATCAAAGACATCTGCATTCCACATATTAACTATATGTTTGAATATTGTTCTTTTCCTGGTTGTTTCTTCTGATTAACATTTGATCAATATTACAAGATTATATTTCATATATAACTACACACACTTGCAAATTTTATTTTCACTCTTTTTTGGGAACGTTTTAGTGAAGAAAAATAGATCAGCCTTCGTTCTCTAGATGTCAGCCCTTCAAGATAGGCCAGGTTAGAAAATGGTCTCCACAAAAAATACTAGAACTTTATTTTATTAATATAGGCTACAGACAGAATCCTGAAAGCCTGACAGTGTTTTCCTTTTCCTCCCTTTTATACCAAAGAGAGTCAAGATCATTCACTTTAAGTTTCTTTCTATTGCCTTCTTCCCTTTCTAAGCTTAGTTCATGTTTTCTAACTGACATTGCATTCCTTCTCCATGGTCATCTCTGTGTTCTCTACACCATATTACAAACCCATCATCTCCAAATAGCATTATGATGAGAGTTGTGCTCCAACATGTATGGAAAACACTGGGTTGAAGACAAGGGAGTTAGAGTATTGGACTATGATTGGGGAGATAATCTCAGCCCTTACAAAGTTGCTGTGAAGTTAAAATGGTCTCTAGCAACCATGCCAGAATAAGTATTAAATTGTTGGCCTGCTTGCTTTTGTTGCCTTAAACATGAATAAATGAAACATGCTTGTGTGGCTTTTTTCCCTGTTGTTCCCCAGATTTCCCTTCTGGGTGACGTTGACAATAATTTGATCAGTACATGCCTGATGGAGCAAGCCATATTTTTCTCCCCCTCACCCTAGAGTTGGAACCGGTTTGGGAAGACAGGGCAAATTTGACCAGTCTGCTAAAAAGAGGCCACTTGCACCTTCAAGGCATCCTCAGGTCCATCTACAATCAGTAGGGGAAAAGTCCATGGCTCAGGGTTTTAAAAAACATGTTTTTGTTCTTGTTCTGTACTTTCATTAGCATTGCTGTTTTATATTGGTAAATACGGCCAATTGGCATCGACAGAAGGCATGCAGCCTATTCCTGGTTTGGTCACTGTAGAGCATGGCAGAAAATGGGAGCATGATTTTAGTCAGTATTCTATCATTTTATCTCCCAGCTTCTTGGAAGACCATATTTACAGCCCACAGTGCTGTAAATGCGTAAAATCAGGCAAAAATTATTACGTGCATACCATTTGCAAATTGTGCAACTGAAACACAGAAGTAGTCCTGCCAAAGAGGAGGCTTTAGCCTAGTTCTGAGTGAGATGGCATACCTGGGGCTGGACGGCTGTTGTTTAGACTGCTAAGCTGACAGTGTAGTTTTCCCAGGAAAGTGTTTTGGTAGAGGAGTAGTTGCCCAATTTGACACCATATGGCTGAGCCAGCGCTTTGTTTTTCCTGAGAAAAAATACATTTGAGTTAGGGGCTTTTCGCTTGGCCTTGCGAAATCTCCTATGCATGTCAGAAACAGTTCAATAAAGCAACAATATTTAATAATTGGCTGCCCTTTGTTGCTCCTGTTCTATTAGTGCCAACACATTTTAAGGAGTATGGGTGAAGACCATACCTGAAACTTTTAATGAACTATAGCTTTCTACATAAAATAGAAAAAAACAAATCCAGAGCCATAATGTATTTTTAACAGTCTGCTTTCCTCTGGAACAATGAAATCTGAGGAGAAATTTGGGACGAGGGGAATTCTGGAGGCATCTCTGTGTGATGAAACAGAGTCATAACTAGCAGAAGATTTCAGATGACTTGTGACATCCTTAGGATAGCTCTAGCTAAAATATCACTTTAGTTCTATCAGCTGTTCTTCATGCTAACTGTAGCAACAGAAAACTATTGACTGGAGCATTTAGATCGCACCTGTTGCTGAAAGTATACATGATGCTGCAAAGTGAACAAAGGATCCACTAATTTATATGATGTACAGTACTTAAAAGGGATCCTTGAGAAGGTCTGTCGAGATGCCAGGGAATGCCTAATGGCCAGGTGTTCACTTTATTTTGATATGTGGATGATGGAAAAAGAGGGGCAATCAGGAAAGGCCTTGAAAAGGGTTTCATTTCCCCAAAATGGCTTTTAGCCAAAGTACAGAATCTTAAATGCAACAAAATCCTGGGCCACCCAAGACAGCAAAATGAATCAGACAGCCTCTACGCACAGTATCTTTGTGCTGATTACCAACAAATACAAGGAGGCAGCATACTGGAAAAGACTGTGAGCAACTTTAAGGAAGATAGGATGGGTCAAGTAAGCAAACTGTTTTGAGAGAAGACTGAAAGAACTAAGTATGGCCAGTCTAGAGCAGTGTTTCTCAACCTTGGCAGCTTGGAGATGTGTGGACTTCAACTCCCAGAATTCCCCAGCCAGCAAAGTGGCTGGGGAATTCTGGGGGTTGAAGTCCACACATCTCAAAGTTGTCAAGGTTGAGAAATACTGCTCTAGAGGAAAGAAAATCAAGTGGAAATTATGCTTATCATTTTTAGTTGTAGAAATAGAGTGGAGGAAACAGCTGCTAGCATTCTCCATTTTGAGTGTGTAGGATGACACAGGTTATATCAGCTTCAGTACTGTATAGTTAAGACATTCCAATTGTTATCACTTTCTTAATTGCCCAGGAAATCTGCAATCCATTTTCTACTGTAGCTCTGTCCATATAGTTCATTTGGTGTTTTCCTTGGTATGGTACAAGGAGCCAGCAGCATGACTGAGCACGAAGACCTTCAAAAACCTGGCTCCCACATGGCCTAGGGCAAAACTAGGCCCTTTTCTGAGTAATAAAGGAATAGTCCATATATTTCTTGGGGGTTTTTTTTCTGAATGGAAATAGGGGGCACACTTCATTCTCATAATTGAAAGTTTTAATTTTAGACTGGTTCATATTTCAAGGGTGGACAAACTTCAGCTTGTGGGCTGCTCTTCCTGCTCTTACCTTGTCTGAAGGTCCCAGCAGGATTGGCCAGTGATTCAATAACAACACTAAAGTAGACTGGGTCAAAATTTTGGTACACATTTTCCCCATTTTGGGAGTTTAAGAGGCAAAATCAGCATTGTAAGACTTGTAGAACCTTAAGGCGACCAATTGCCCCTTGAGACATATTCTCCCAATTCCTGAAAAAAATCAGTCTGATATCTTTAGCGAGGAGGTTAATGGCTGAAATGGGTGCCTTAACATATTGGAGAGACTTAAGATGCCCTAGTACCCCTAAAAAAAAAAAAAAATTAAAAAAAAGAACTAAAAATTAGCATGATGCAGCCTGGATTATGAATAAGAATTACTTGACTCAGGGAGTCTTTCCCACTAACGATCACATGTCCATCTGAGTTTAGTATGACTAATTAGTAGAAGGAATGCTTAGAGATTCATGCCAGGATGCAGTAGCTACTGGATAATTCTGCTGTTTTGGGGTTTGGGAGTGATTGAATTATCCAGTTTTCTAGCATGAGTTATTCTGCTATGCGTTTACATTGCTTGCAACACTTGAGGAGTGAATCATACTTTTATGTTTACATGTGTTTGTTATAATGTATGAATATTCTGAATTTCTATACAAATGCATCTATCTGAAATAGCGTACAACTTTAAAGCAATGAAAGCATGTAATGTAAGAGAGGAACCAAACACATACTGTGAATAGCCGCCTCTGCTGTGGATGAGAATTTGGGGCTTACTTAGTTCCCATAATGAATTAGCCATTCTCTTGCAGCACACTACATTGGAAGGTTTGTTTTGAGGGACAAAGTTAGCCAGCCTCTTCTTCCAGTTCTATCCTTTGAAACATGTCATATGACTTATTTCTGTTTTCTTCTTGGTTCCTAGGTCCAGCTAGTCACAATAGCTCCCTCTTAGCCTCGCTTCCCATCCCAGGACGGTCTTTGCATCCATCACTGGATATCAAGCATTTTCTGACTTTCCGCCTCAATGGCACCCCTCCACTCAACCTCTTTCCTAATTTCAACACGGTGAGTTTTTCTAGGTTTGATCTATTTCTTCTTCCCCTACAGAGCAGTGTCCTGTATGGAATTAGCCAGCAGCAAAATTAGCCTCTATCTTCTGGGCGAAAGGCCAAAAATGTAGCCATTTCTCACCCCAGAATGTAATTGCTGATGGGCCAATTCTTTATCTCAGCCTTCTTTGTTTGCTCATTGCATAATTCACCCTGTTGATCTACCCACTTCAAGGTCAACCAGAACACACGTGCTCTGAGCTTGATCTATGTGTGGCATCTATAGAAATACAGCAAGTGCAGGATGCCTTCACACACCCAGTCATGTTCATCATATTATGCCAGCCCTCCTTCATTACAGATGGAAAGCTTAAGCTAAAAGAGATGTAAAGGTCACTGAGGATTGTTAGGATGCCATGGTGATGGCCAAATGATAAGTTGTAGCTGCAGGGTGGTCTTCTAGTTGATGGGAGGAGCCAGAGATTCCCAGGAAAGTGTGCTAAATTGACTTTACTTTTCCATTGATTTCCCATAATAGCCTGTGCCAAACATGCTTTGTTTCCTTGCAAATTCTGTTTCCTCTGTATTTTAACAGGTGAAAATAACAGAGATATAGTCAACCCTCACAAATTCTAAAAGCATGGAGCTTATGCTCTTTAAAGGCAGTCATGCTCACATTTTCTTGGCACTCCCCCCCCCCACCGATCACTAGGATTGCAACTCCAAAAATTCCCATCCAGTATAGGACCCTGGAGGTTTCAAGTTGGGGAAGATCGTTCTTGAGCATCTTTCATAAAAACAGATGCAGTGTCCACTCTGACATCGTTTTCACAGCAGGCAGTAGATGTTTTCAAGAAGTTTGCAGCTGCCCCTGTTTCTGCCTCTTTTATCTGATATGATACTTTTGACTGCTGAGGATCCATTTAATCCCTAGGGCTATTAATTCATTGATAAGCCTGCCTTCCTCCATTTATCTATTCCAGGTTTTGCTTACTATATCTTGCAGTAGTAATTTTGAAAGTGTTGTCTATTATTTGTCTGTTTGATAGCAGCACCATTTTTGATGAGTGATCCTAACTTCTATTTTCTGAGAAAACTAAAGTGTTAAAAAATGAATAATGCATAATCCATATGTTAACCTGTTTGCTTATCTTTCTCCTTGAAATGAAAAAAAAAAGGGGGGGTACTACCTAGAAAGAATGAACAAAAGACAAAAGAAGTAGGAGCTCAACTGCTGTGTTTACTGTTTGCTGTAGTGGAAAAAAAACCAAATAGTGTTCATTTTATCTTCCTCTCCTGCCTAATCTGTTGCTAGGACAGATTGAAGTTTCAGTTGATAGAAAGAATCTCTAGTCTAGATGTTAAGGAAACAGTATTATATCCTTAAGCAGTATTCTATTGTTGCTGGGTATGGAAGCAGAAAATTGGAAGGGCATTGCTGCAGAATAATTTCATCAAACTCCTATATCTCAAGGCAGAATACCTGTTCCAGACTAAATCAAGTAAATGAACCCCAATATTTCTGAGTAGTTTGGTTTTTTAAAAAAAAAAAAGTACAAAGAAGCATACATTTTATTTTGAGGCTTTTCTAGATTTCCAGTTCAGATTAGATTGATAGCTGATTTTTATGGCTATATAAGAGAACCAAGTTAAGTGTTTTGTCTCAATTATGGCTCATTGTATTTATTCAGTAGATTTCTAAGTTATCTCAAGAGCATGGTCTTCCCAAGATAATTTACAATAACAAAATATAAAAGCGCTTTAAAATATGGCTTTAAAATAAGCTGATATAAACAAAATACAGTGTCAGTACCTAACTGCAGTGAACACTATAAGGCTTCTAAATATTTTTAAAAATTTTAAACAGCAGCCATTAGATATGTCAAGCCAGATATTGCACTGAACTTCCAAAGGAAATAATTTGACAGAGAAGGGGCAGGATCTGGAAGTGAGGTACTTTTATGCTGAGCCTGAACTTTAGAGCAGTTTGACCTTAACTTCTTGTAAACCAGAAGTTCCAAACCAGAATGTTGATACCCCAGATCTTTATTCTAGACTTTGTATTAACTTTTATTTTCTCTGCAAAGGTCCCCTTTTCTCTAATGATTTCATTCTAGGAATAAAGCAAGAAAAGGCTTGTTTGTCCCCCTTTAGTTATGCAACACACTTGTGGATTTGTATATGTTTCACTGAAAACTCTTGGCTTAGAAAAAAATGTCAGGTTTGTGTAAAAAGCAAGTTCAAATTTTGAAGGTGCCCCAAAATCCACTCAAATGTGCAAAACCTTTGTAAAACTTCTTAAAAGTCATAGTTTGAGCCCTTCCTGTGTCTCTTGGTTTCCCTGACCTCATAGTCTTTACAGGATGTTCAGTGAATAATCTCTGATTATGTACTGGTGGGAATATCCCAGGGATAAAACAGAAGTAATCTGAGTCATTGCAAATTACTTAATACACAGAGTTGGGGATTTTTTTTTTAAACTGCCTGAATACAAAATAATACTTTTCAGTTTTCTGGGCATTTTGTCCTTGTGCTAACAGGTAGAGAGGTAAGAAAGTCCAACAACTACTGTAGATTAGCACATTAAGAGTAAGCTATATCTGGTAGGTTGGACACTGTTATTTATTTTGGTCAAGAATTAAATTTAAAAAATCAAGTTAAAACAGTATAATTTAAAAATCAGTAAATAACAGTTCAAGGGAAGAAGATCATATATGGATAAGCAATAGCAGAGGTTAGGCTTGTTCTAATAGCTCTAGCAGAGTAAAATGACTATACAAATCTTGCAACTCTCCTAGTAATCTCAAAGTGCTCAGCTAGCAGGAGGTCCACATGATCCTTTAGTAGACCAGGTCTGCTCAGTACAAGGGAAGTTATAAGCGCAGAGTATGGAATCTCGTAGAAAGGGCAGTGTGGAATTGCATGTGCTTGAGCCTTAATTTTTGAGCTTCATATTGGCTCCAAGATGGAATGTTGTTATTGTCTCATCCTAGTACTGCCAAGGGTAGATAATTAAAACATACTAAGGAAAAAAAGACACAGTAACCTAAGGATGTACAGTCATATGGGTACATTGCTGGGCTGAACAGTTTTCCATTAATCTCCAACCCTCAGAATCTGTTGAGTGCTCCCTGATCTTATTGGAGGTCTATGTCTCGGACGTTTTTTAATTGATGCTTTGGCTTTGTCAAATCCCAGCGCTAACACAAATTGGCTTAAAAGGCCACACTGACAAATCTTATGGAGCTGGATCTTCCAAGTTGACTTGAAATCATCAAAGAGAATCAGAGCAGCTAAAGAATCCCTAGCAACATTTAGTTTGAGCCAACAATTGAGTCGATTAAGATAGGCCTTTGCTGCAAATGAAACCAATCCAGATTCAGGGTATACAGATGTGTTAGAGAGGTAGCAAAGGATTATGGTAGATGGGTGTTGTTATTTTAAGAACAAAAGGCAAAGTTGATGTTTTTAAAAACAGATTTTCCTTTCCAAGTGAAATAGGAAAACCTTTCCCTGGATTTCCTGTAATTGGGAATTTGTACATATAGTAGAGGAGAGAGAATAGAGTTGGCCACCTGTGCAATTCAAAATGGAACTATTGTAATTCTTGAGTGTTGGCTAATTCTAAAGTGTTGGCTTTGCCAAAAAATCAGTGGTGGAATAGTTTGTTCTTCAGAGTGGTCTAACAGCCCATATTTTATTGTACCCTGGAATATGTCCAGAGGAAATTTTGATCTCTGTTGTTAGAAGACAGCATTGTATAACAAAATAGGCAACACAGAAGTAGTAGAAAAACATATTTGCTTAAAGTAAACTTGAAATTGTTGGGGAGGTTTTCTTTCATGTCTGCTTTTGCGTTAATGGTGAAGGGCTTTCTGTAATGACTGCATGGCTCTGATTGGTGCCCAGAGTAATCTGTCATTAGATTTAATGATTAACACATCATTATGTCCAAAGCCTTTTTAAAGTTGAATTACTGGAATTGTTTTCCTGATAGCTTTTGTTTGCTAAGTTTGTTCTACTTTGCTTTACTCAGCTATAACCAAATGTTTTTAGAAAGTGAGAACTGTTATTTTGAAAAAAGTAATTAATAATATTAATAAATGATGCTGTTCACAGCCTCAGGATGTTTTGGCTATTTGCTATAGCTATTATGGTAATTATCATCATTTAATATGAAAAATTAAGTCACTTAAAAGAAAGCCACACTGAACACACTAGAGATTAGTTCTGAATTAACATGCATAGGATTTTACCTTACACATATGGGACAACACTTGATCACAAGGTTACACGTTTAAAATTTGTTTTTAAAAAACAAGTGTCTGTTAAAAGCAATACCTATTAGCTATAATTTATAAATGGAGCACCAAGTACAAAGGTTGCTATTGGTAGTAGTTGTTCTTGTTATTATTATTCACAGAAAAGGGAATCATCTTCATGCTTTGGGGAGGGGCAGGCACTGGTTGACCTTTACTGTATTAGAAATAAATTGCTGACAATATAGACCTTGCTTTGATCTCCCAAAGCAGGCTTTGTTTTTCAATTCTGCACAATGGATGTTGAAAACAATTGCAGAAGAAACAGGATAGACATCCTCATGGTATTAGGAATATAGTAAATTCATAGAAAAATTATTTACACCACTTTTCTTCCTCCCAAACAAATACACAATATATTTTTCTCCTTGTGGACATATTCTGGATCTGTACCACCTTGTTTAACATAGCTTTACATCAGGTTGGTGCTATCTAGAGCAAACTGTTGTCAACTGTGGTATAAAAAGTTCCTTTCCTCTCTTAAAGCCTCTGATCCATCACTCTTGCCATCCAGTCTCTACAGATCCCCCCTTCATTTTTATTGCAGATGCATGAGTAAAAAATTCATCACAAGCATGGGAAGGCACCACTTCATCAATCACTGTTTGTTGCCAATTCCATTCCCTTTGGTGATGGAATTTAGGGGTCCAAATAATGATTCCCTTGTCTGCACACTTTGCCTGCCAGACCGATGCACCTGTCTGGGCCACTAAATAGCTTTGCTGAGACATACGATCACCTTCGAACCTCAATCTCTTTCTTGCCCCATTCTTCCTGATAGCCAGCTTTGGAGGAGATATCTTCCACAACCACAGGGATAAGAGGACAATACTTGTATTATAGATTATAGTTGTGCTCACACACACACAGTATTTTTATATTAACTGATTCCTTTTCCCTCTTATCCTTTTCCCCTCTGTGGTTCTTTCTTTAGTCTTTTTTATCTGTTTACAATTATTGTGGATATTTAAACAAGTTCTAACGCAAAGTTAGGGAAAACCAAAAGAAACAAAGAAGAAATAAAGCAGAATGCAATAGAAATGAAGATTTCATGTTGGTTTGCAGCAGAATTTTCTCAATCTGGATGTTAAACAAATGCTGGTTTTTAAGTTCTTTTGACTTGGCCCTTGAGACATCAGGCAACTATGGAAATGTTAGTTCCCCAAGTTCTATTTCCTATCACGGCATAAATGATCTTCCACATCAGTGATTTCTAGAGAAACGTGAGGTTCTTGAGAACTTTATAGTGTTTTTTCCAATTACAAGACCTGTAATGGCTGACAAGTTTCCGTGAAAGCTTGTCCGACAGTATCTTCTTCCTGCAACAACTCTCACCTTGTAGAGCAGGCCAGCACAACGTGTAGAGGGAAATGGGCCATGCTGCCACATTAGAAATAATTGTGGGCCGCACAGGAATAGCTGACACCCTGATCAGCTGTTTGGCAGCTAGAGGCATGGAAGCAGCAATGGAATTAGCAGCGTTGGAGGTGCTCAGCAGCATGTCTTTTGGGGCAGAAGTGGCTGCAAAAAACTAGGCAGCAACGGCAGATCCTTCTTGGCAGCAGTAGATTTGTGGAGCTTTCAAAAAATGCCAGTGGATGTTGCGCAGGCCTGTTAATTCTTGGGAGGTTCTCCAGGGTACATTCTTAGGGCACACTGAGCAGCAGAGAGGCAAAACAAGCCTGACCAGAACTGTCAGGAAAGATGCACACCTTGGAACAACTTTCTCCAATCAAATGTCCTCCAGACATTGCAATTCACAATTCCTATAGTTCCCTGAGAACACAATCCTTCCCCATGCTGGTTAGAATATAGGGAGTAGTGGCTTAATGTAATTGGAAGGCAGCAAGTTAAGGAAAGGTTCCTTAGAACTCTGCACCCCTTAACCATTACCACCAGCAGAATTCATTGCCATTTTCAGCTGAAGCTGGAGAGGTAGTAACTAGTGCTGTTCAGGCCAGAGAATGCCCCTGTATAAACACTGAACCAGTGCATTCCAGTCTCAAGGCTGGGAAAGTCATGGCTAAGAATCCATTAACTTCTAAGGTCAGGAAGGAAAGGCTTAAGATTTTAAACCTGAGAGCTAACATACAGGCTTTGTGTTCTGCAGCAAGGCCTGTTTTGTGTGTATATATGACATGTCCAGCTGCATCAAGTCCTTGAAGGTTCTACTTTTAGCTAGTTCCTGAATAGGACAGAGGTTTTGGAGGAGCAGAAGTTTATAGCTATTCCTGACCCAAATATGACAGATGAGCACATTTTCTCGGCAAATGGGTTCAGCAGCACTACGAAGGCAGTTTTTGAAATATGCCCAAGCACAATTTTACATTTCTGGCTGTCAGAGCATCAGCTAACTTGGCTCCACTTTTCTTCACATCCTTCCCCTCTCTAGATGGATCCAGTACAGAAGGCAGTAATCAACCATACCTTTGGTGTACCCAATCCGCTCAAGAAGAAGCAGTTCATCTCTTGTAATATTTGCCACCTGAGATTCAACTCTGCGGTAAGCTACGTCCCTGATGCACTAGGGCCAAGCATATCGGTGGGAAAAAGGAAAAAGAGAGAAACAATATAGATAATGATGTCAGTCTTGCTTATGAGTGGCACAACAACTCACATAATGTTTTAGTGTTCAAAGCACCTAATCTGATAATTTGTAAGGAAGGTAATGATTGGCAGTGCCTTCATATTCTAGAACAACCCAAAGCTGAAAATATCTTAAAGCTGAGTTTGTGGTAGTCTTTGGCAAGGGTGAGATTTGGGCCTGTGAAGGCCTGATTTATGGCTTACAGAGCAGAAAGCACAGCAAGTCATATTAATAAGTCTTATCAGAGAATGAGCATCCACCACAGACTGCTCCTTCTAGGGATTGTTTAGTGCACCATCCAAATCAAGGACTTGTGCTTCTTCCTCTAAGTTTCTGTCTCTAAATTGTTTCAAGAGGAACAAGCTAGAACTTCTAGTGTGGATGACGTATTTAACAAACCATGGGTAAAGCCACCTGGTTTGTTCATCATGCCCACTCATGGAAGGGGCCTACAATCACAGTCAAAGAAGAAGGTAACAGCATGATAATTTGCTTGCTTATATGTCATAAAACATGGCACATCATGTTATGCATGCAAGTTCATTGAACATTATTTCTACCAGCCAGGCATCTAGGGAGTTCTTATGCCATTTCAACTCCTTTTGGAAAAAAGATATCACACATTTTTTTGCAGGAAATATCTACTATTGCCTCTGCTGCCACTTTCCACACCTGTGTTTTTTCCCTTTTGGGGGGGAGGCAGCAATGGGCTCTTAAGGGCTTGCAAAGGGAAGCCATGTGTTGGTGTTCTCCTCTATTCTGCATCCAGAAAGTCAGGCAGGGAGCTTGCATAGTAAAGCGCTCTGTTTGGAAGGCTCTCTTTTCAGCCTGTGGGCCATTACTTGAATCTGGCCAGAAGAAGGGACAGCAGTATACAGCCATATTGTCTCGTAGGCAGACTTCAGCACAGTGCCTGGTGCCTCTCTCTCTCTCTTTTAACGATAAAAGCTGTGACAAAAACTTTCCTGGGCAGAATTTTCTTTTTATTCCATGCTCTCCTAAAACATTATCTAAATGCATTCATCCAGCGTAACATGGATTTTCTATACTAAAGGTGGCAGAACGTACTATTTATTTACATAGATTTACTAGAACCAACCAACATACTAATGTTCTTTGACTTATACAAATCATAATGTCACACATTTTCTTGTGCTTCCTAAAGAAATTATCCAAGATAATTTCATCACTCCTCTACCCGTAGAAATTAATACCCAGGCAAAAGGGCCTATGAAACAGAAGTATCCAAGGCTTACAAGGCTTACAGGAGAAATAACCAAGGAAATCTCTGAACGCCAGGAGAATAAGTGGATCAAGCAGGGCTCCTTTGCCCCAGTAAAAGTCTGTCTATAGTCTGAGTCACTGAAGACCTGCTTGAGCTTAGTTATAAATCAGGCTCTGTTTTTCATCTTCCTTCTTTTGCCTTTCCTTGTGCTAGATGTGTAGGACTTGAGCCTCACGGTTGGGCTAAGTGACCTTCAGCACTATCCTGTTTGTACAGCGTGGCCCTCTAGCAAAGCACTGCGTCCTCTCTGTTTTCATTTTGTACATGCACGCGCGCGCACACATCCACCCACACCCCTTTGCCGTCAGGCTCCCGTTTCATCTGATGACTTTCGCTCCCTCCCTGCCTCATGCTGTGCATCCATATAATTCAATTCCTGGCATTGTTCATTGCCTGGCGAAATGGAGATAAGACACGTTGCCCCTGATTAAATGCAGCCCATTTCTTGTTTCAAAAAGAGCTTTTGGGCAAGCAAAAAAAAAAAAAAGGAAAATAAAAATGTGCAGCTTCTGAAAGAATATGCAGCAGACGGCTTTGCCATACAAAATGAAATAATATAACTAAATATATTCACTTGAAGTGGAGGGGAGGAGAAGGACATAATTGTCGACCATTGTCCCTTCCTGGAATGCATAGCTAACATGAAGTGTATGTTCCCAGGCAGCCATGCCAGTTCTGTGTATATGTGTGTGTTTACACTTTGTGCTTTCCTTCATCCAGCCCCTTTAGCTTTTCAGTGAAAAGGATGAATAACTGAAGTATGTGTTAATGTCCTCTGTCTGTTCACTGCTGATAAAATATTAAAAAAAAGAAAATACAAAAGACTCCCCCCACCCCCAAAAGCTTGTGTACTTAGCAGTCAAAGACGATTCTCCCGATTCTCACTACAATGAATGGCTCTCCAGCAAATTCATGTGAATTTAAGTCCAATCTGAATTAAAATGAGGGTGTTACACAGAGGTTCCTCTTAGTTTGCATAATGGTTGAAGAAGGAAATACAAGTGCTCAATGCCCAGAAAGGAGAAGTATGGAAAATTCCCTATTGCTCTATTTTTGATGCATTTTTTGTTTTGATGGGGAATGTTTAGCTTATGCCTGAAATCACATTTTATCCTTATATTCTTAAAAGATCCACTTCACTTTTGTACACTCAGTTCACTGTCGATCACTTGGCCTGCCTATCTGTTTGGCTTTTTCCAAGGGCTCAGATGGGAGGAAGATGTACACAGAAGGATTATTTCTGTGCTGCTCCTCAATACTGTAAAAAAAAAAAAAGAAATGGGGAAATTGGGGAAAAATAGCAAGGTAGTTGGGAAAAAAGTCATCTGCTGCTGCAGCAGGAAGATAAACCAGGCTTCAAAGTGCTACTCTACCAACTAGAAAAATGGGCTTAGCAAATCACTTTGCATTGTAGTCTCTCTTTGATCTTCCATAATATGGAATGGCCTTAATACTCTTCTCTATCACTCAACCCTCCCCTCCCGTTTATCTCTCTCAGAATCAAGCTGAGGCACATTACAGAGGCCACAAGCATGCCCGGAGACTCAAAGCCATTGAAGCAGTGAAAAATAAGCACAAGACAGCTGACAATAGCAGCAGCAGCAGCAGCCAAGAAAAAATGGCTGACTTTGAAGCTGCACTAGATATCAGCAGAGACACCACTACCAACAGCACAGGTAAGAGGCAAGCTGATCTAGGAAGAAGCCTTCTTCTAGGCAGATTTTAGTTTGGGGAAACTTTCATACTTGCCTGTAATTTACCTCTCCTGTTGTTGTCTAGTGGAAGAATAATCTTAGCTGAGATGCCACTACAATGGAAGCAAATACTAGTTACCTTAAAGGCTTGTTAATCTTAGAACCATTATTCCAAAGAAAATAAACGTCTTCCTCTTTTGTTAGCGCAATCCAATAGCTTGCTAGGACTGAGCCAACCAATGACAGAACATTGGAACCTCATGCTGATGTCCCCGACAGAGGAATCACCAGCCAAGATACCTACTGGCGTCCTGTCCCTGGTCTCCCCATCAGTTTCAGAGCCCTTGGAAGGAGCTCCAGATAGTGCAAGTGTGACATCTGCAGCAGCAGCAGCAGCAACAGCTGGTATGGAGGTGCCAGCCACTGAATCTGGAGGAACCACCAGCTCAGCACCAGAGGTGGAGAAAGAGGGGAAGAAAATCAGGCAGCACTTGTACTGTCCCACTTGCAAAGTAACAGTTAACTCTGCCTCTCAGTTGGAGGCTCATAATTCTGGTAAGGAGCCTTCATGTGGGTTTTCTCCAGCTACCACATAAAAGGCCAAGCTAGACTATACAACATGTCTACCACTGCTGTAAAAGATATGACATCTGGAGCCTGTTGCATGTAACCCATGATAATTCAGAGGCATTTGCAGGATTGAAGGCTTTTGTCTAAATGATGAAATCAGGGTCACAATGCAAGCTTCACACCTTTTGTACATGTGTGCGTCATCGTGATGGATGTACAAAAGGGGGAGGACTTGCATCACCATGGTGCAATGATATTTTCATCATTTGCCTTCTTGCCCCGTCCAAAACCTTCGTTCATTTCACCTGCCAAAAACATTTGTCCAGGTATTGATACTGGACCAAGGGTAGTTCCATTGTAGCAGTAAAAAGGATAAGTAACTCCTCTTCCTCTACAGAAAATGTTGAATGCTACCAGAAGATACATCAGCTTTCCTCACTGACATTGATAGACTTTAATAACTGAAGCCTATAAAAAACTGTAAACCAGACTTCCCCAATCTGGCACCTTTCAAATCTCCTAGGACTGGGACTCCTAGAGTTCTCAACACATATGGAGGCTGCCACCTAGAGAAGGTGACCTATTACCAAATTTTGCTCCAGTGAACTACATTTAGTGCTGAAATAATACGTTTCTGATTTTTGGGATCCTTGATCAATTCCTTCTAATTAATAAACAAGTGTGTTTAGTTCATTAGTAGATTTTTGGTTTTAGCATTCGTTCAGCAGGCATGGTAATAGGCTATCCATAGAATGGAAGAGATACAGTAGCATGAATGCCATGAGAGGAGAGTATGTTGAGAATAGGCGTCATTTACAGATACTGCCCGCCAGATTTTGCAATACTGTAGCTGTTCACTTACGGTGAGTAAGATGAAGTGTATTCAGAAGCTTGAGAGCTGGTTCTTTGTTTCCTAAAGCCAAAAATGATTATACAAATAGGTAGGCTTGGCTAGTAACTTATTTGTAGGCTACTGTTTGCAATAGAAAAGAATTTGGATAGAACTTGGAATCCCAGTACTCTTGAGAAGCACTGTGATTCCAAGTTCTATCCCAGTTCTTTTCTGTTTTGACTCAAAGAAAAAAACAGCTGTACTTTTCTATCCTTGCATGATGCATCATGAAATCTTCTTGCAGCAATCCAATATCTCTTTAATACTTCCTCCATTTTATATATATAAAAAAGTACACAACCAATTTTGAGTTTCTGTTCTGTTCAGTAAAATTTTGTTTTCCCCCACCGTCACTATCTTTCAATTATTTAATTGTCTCTACTCTGATCTGGGGCCTTCCATGTTGGCTTGAGATGCTTGATGCTGTAGTCCAATGCACTTGGAGTATATTAAACTAAAGTAGGCTAGACTAACCTTATGAATAATGTTAATGAACTTGAAAGCTTACTTGCTTTTGTGAAATTTTTGGATTTTATTTAATATTGTCATTTTCAAATTGCCTGTAGAATTTTCTTTCTATAGAATAATGAACTGCTTTATTTTCACTTTTAATTTTTAAGGCTGTCATTTTTTTTTTCTTGATGTCTTATGTTTTCAGGCAAAACAAGGAATCACAATAATTAGGACAGTTAAAAATAAAGAAAAATGGATTCATTTGGGATTTGGCCTCGCCTTACTTGCTATCTCTATTCTACCTAACAGTAGCAAAAAAAGAAAATACAAAGGTGATCCCTAAATAGTGCAATTGACAGAAAGGCAAGATAAGTTCATAAAACCTATTAAAAATAGACTAAGATACCATAACAGAATGCATAAACTTATATCACAGTCTCCGGGTTTCTAGCCTGGTGCCTTAAGCACTATACCAAACTGGCTCTCAAACACTCAACTAGCTCTCAAACACTATATTAAATATATATAAAAAGTGCATGTAGCAAGGAAACAAGTAGAAAAATGTAACATCATCCAGATGTTGTGTCAGACATCTGCCCTAGATTTTCTGAACAGCCACCTTGATTCTGGCATCATGGAACTGCCCCATCCCTTTGAAGCATGGCCATATCTGCCTCTTGTCTTAGAATGCCTCCTGCTTATCAAAGTGCGAGAGCCAAGTTTTCCTTTTTTGTTCCCAAACTCATCTTCTCTTCCCCACTCCCAGGAGCAAAGCACAAATCGATGCTGGAAGGGCAGACTGTTTTGCCGAGGCGAGGCCGAGGGAAGGTCCTTTCCCGAGTGGGACACAAGCCCAAACGGATTGGCAGCAAGGGCAGCCTCAACATTCAGAACAAGGCCTTCCAGTGCCAGGTGTGCGAGATCTTTGTCAACTCAGAGACGCAGCTCAAACAGGTGAGTCGAGCAATCTAAGCAGGACAAAGTGGCCCCCACAGCTCCTCTGATTGCCTGGAGGACTGTGATGAGGGCTGTGCTGAATTTTGAACATTTTTGAAAGAAGCATTTTAAGGTGGAGAGAAAAAGGGGAGTGGGGAATTAATCTTTCCATCCTACTCCCACCCCCAAGTTTCAGCTTAGGCCTGTTCATTAAATTTCCATTAAGGTTAGAGATGAAGTTATGTTGCAAGTGGAAATTTCACCATATTGAACTACAGGCTAAAGTGAATGTTGCATTAGGACACCCGGAACGTCACTCCAACAGTCCTTATAAAATAAACAAAGCCACATCTTAAGGGGCAGTCAGGATGGAAAAGGGGCATGGAAGGCCAGCTGCTCATGTCTTTCTCCTCCTTGAATTTTTCTGCTCCAAATAGTGTCCCAAGCAGCTTTTCACTCTCATCGGATTTCAAATATATATTTGCCTTCCAGGAAATCCTACACAAATGGCTTTTCCAGTGACAAGAGAACGATCAGAGTTAATGTTATGTACATCTGCATACAGTATCTAATTAATTAATTAATTAATTAATTAATTAAAAATACTTTCATGCTACCTTGAGTAAAGTAACCAAGAAGATTAAAAAGCAGCAGCATAACAACAGAAACAATAACAATGATACAGAGAAGCCTTGATCCCACTGACCCCCATTTAATGGACTTCACGTGTATTGGACAAGATTTCTTTCTGAACACCCCCTGAAGTAACAGACAAGTCCTTTCAATCCAAAGTAGTCCATGTTAAATGTTAAATTTACATTACATTTACATTAATTTCATGCCATCACGTTGATTTACCTCATTTGCATAATGACTTGAATATACAAATGATGCAAATTACATCATTTGCATTTATTTGCGTCATTTGTGTAATAACATCATTACCCAAATAATGTCATTCACGTCAATGTGTGTCGTTTGCATAATGACATAATGACGCAAATCACCATAAATGATGTAATTTGCAATTTAATGACTGTTGAGGAATAACGGACACTCCCTCCCCCAGTTGAGAGCTTTCACTGTATTAGTAATATCTGTAGTAACTACACATTCGTGTGTGTGTGTGTGTGTGTGTGTGTGTGTGTGTGTGTAACAGTGAAAAGCAATTTAACTCTTCAAAGAATTTTTAAAAAGCAGCAGCCAAGAACAACATTTTAAAATAATCAGCAAGAACAGAAAACATACTGTTGGAGGGGAGCATTTGCACCTTTGAAGAACAAAAGAATATCGGAAGAGGAAACATTTGATCCAGTAATGAAACATCATAGAAGTGGGAGGGCTGTCCTCTCTCAGGAGAGCATTCAAGAGGCTGAGTGCAGCTGAGAAGATTTTCTCTTTTCCTGACAAATATAGCACAGATGCTGATGACAGAGGCATGAGAGACTTTTTAACAGTCTTCAACAATTGGGCGGGCTAAGCTGATACAATAGTCTTTCAAATATCTTGGTCACTTTTCATCTCAAGAGTGAGCAACTCACATATGAAGGAATGCATTCTAGAAATTGTCATCAGGGATGCCATCTTGAAGTGATTTGCCACAAACTAGAAAATGTAGCTGGTGTCATTCTGTATTAGTCTCTTGTCTTGTGTTTCTCTTCTTTTATGTCATTCTAGGCATTATCTACCTATATCCCCCTGGAAAAAAATATATTTTAAAATAATTGTACAGAGACCAAAAGCTGAATAGCAGAAGCACAAATTAATTATTTGAATTGTAATTATATCCATATTCTTTCATTTCTGTTGCTTATTACTGTTAATGTAAAACTTTGAATTGAGCATTTTGAATCAAGCCCTAAAATAGACTAAAAGTTAGTTATCCTGTTCTGCATTTACCTTATTGAGCAAAAGACTCAAAGAAAGATGCACACGTAGTTCTTGCCACAAAGACAGGGTGGTATCTCTCAGTTCACTCTACCAGACAAAAGTGTCAGAGTAAATGGTTAAAAATACTGGAGTCCTACAGCCAAAGTGATATCAAAAAGCTCATCATGATCCTGTTGGTCAAACTGAATCAGAATAGGTACTTCAACACAATCAAAAACACCTTCTTTCAGTTCCTTCCGCAAATAAAAACACAGAACACTCTAAAGCTCTGTCAGTAGAAAGTTTAGTACAAACAATACCAACTGAAGGTGACAAAGGATATCAAGACGTTATTATACAAATTACAGCTCTTACTTTCTAGAGCAGTGCAGCAGCAGTGAGGACAGTATGGTGACCAGAGAACCAGAAACATCAGATTGGGTGGTATATCAGAAGAAGGAGGTAAACCATGAGTCAGTCTTGCTAGGCCCAACATGGCATCTCAGGATCCAGAAGAGGGTCAGGTCCCCATTGGATCCGATTCATCCCCCCAGACATAAGCAAAGCAGTCTCCAGAGCTGGGTGATATGGAATACTAAATCAGTGCATGGGAAACAGAGGCATCCCAGAGCAAGCAGGAAGAGAGGAGAGCCTGTCACCATTATTCTCCTTGAAAACCATGCAAAAGTTTCAGTTATTCCAGAATGCAGCAGCCTGATTATTCTCCAGTATAGGCTGAGAATATGACACCAGTCCTCCGGATCCTATTGGCTTCCTGCTGGCTTCTGGGTGCAATTCAAAGTGCTGTTTTTGACCTTTAAAGCCCAATGTGAGTTGGTCCTGAGGACTAGTTTCAACCTGTCCAACATGCATGTTCCAGGAGAACCTGCAAGTAGTTTCCCCCAGTTTTACAAGGTAAGGCTCACAGACTCTGTTTCATGGCCAACATCAATTCCAAATTCTACCAAGAACAAAGCTTATTCCCCATTTTCTGTCCAGACCCTTCCCACCCTAGAGAATGTGCTGGATGTGTGCAAGACACTAATAATTTATTGAAACATATTCTAGAAAGGTGGAAGGTGGTTACTCTTTTGGTTACTGCAAAATAGTAACCTAGGGAGATGAGTTACAATTATCTATCAGCAGGTGGGTCAGGAAATGTAACACTTTGGTGTACACATCCAACCCCCCCCCCACCCCCCAAAATGTCCTGCTATTACAGACCACTCCATGGGGAGAACAAGCAACTGCATCAGTCTTTAACAGTAGGGTTCTTGTTAAGGGACATTTGGCAGGGACCTTGGCAGAACCATCTACAGTATGTTTATTATAAACATTATAGGTTGGACAAGTTTGCCTTCACAGGTGCACCCTTTGGGTGACCAGTGCTACAGAGGAAGTATTAGCTTCTATTGACTCTCCCTGGGAATACTGCTGTAATGTATCTCTTTCCTATTAGCTGAATCTTTAATGACCAAGAACAGTAGTTGGACTTACCATGAAGTACCTTTCTGGTCACTGAAAGATAGCCCCAACAGCCTTGCTCTACAGTTCTGAGGACAGACTAGGAGTTAGTTCAAGCAAGTCAAATCATTAACTAACTTACCTGTTCAATATTCTTCTTCCATTATCCCATGTTTTCTTTCAATGGCAAGTTTTTTGGCTGTTACAGTAAATTACACAAAGCTGAACTACTCTCAGATCAGATCAGTGTATGTGACTTAAATGAAGGGTTTTTTCTTCCACAGGACAGGAAGAAGGCTTAAGTCCTGTCTTGTAGCTAGAAGAGGTGGAGGTGTCCCTTTCCTTTTCTGTCAAGTCCATCTTTGGGTGACCAGAAAAGTACTTCACTGTAAGTTCAATTACCATTCATAGAGCTTCAGCTTGGGGTCTTGAAGGATTCGAAAGCCCTCCTGCCATGAACCAAGGAGGGGAGGAGAGGCGTAGTTTTTTCCTTTGTTCTTCTTTCAAGATGTTTTTATTCAATGAAGGTGAAAGGGCTCCATCTGCAAATACACTTTAAGTTATTATTCAGTTCTAAAGTTTTTCTTTTTAGTTGCTGCCATTGTTACATTCTTTACACCAGCTCTAGGATCAGTACAAAATTATTTCCCTGTTTGAAGTGCATCCAGAGGCTGGAGAAGTATTGGATGTGGCTGGTCCATAGCCTGTCCTCCGGTAGACTTCCTTTTGCTTCCCCCCGCCTCACCATAAAGGACTGCCCTTAGAAATTAGCAGGATGGAAAAATAAAATTGATACCAGCCCTAGGATTGATATAGGGTATCTGCTGAACAGGGGGTATGCTGGGAGCCACATGAGCTATGGATCCATGTCCCCTTTGCCAGTTTCCAGCACACCTCTTTTAGGCCCTTCCAATTCTATACATAACAAATATAAGTCTTAAAATTCTATTTATTTTCTCTTAGGATCCTGGTGTCCAATGATATGTGTCAAACTTCCAGAATAGTTATGTGCATCCAGAATGAATATACAATAAATACATAAATAATCTTTGTTAAGTGAACCTGATTATGCAGACCTCCTTAAATATGTAAAGAGTAGCTTTCTTGGGTCAGGATAAGCTTTAGTAATCAAATTAATGATCAAATGTTCACTATCTTATTGAGTAGGAGTCATTAGGCAATCATTGGACTGGTACACTAACAGTGGAGTCCAGCTGGTCTCCTGCCCACTCCTGACATGACCCTTGAAGATACCTTGGAGGGCCTCCTATTTAATTGATAATGGCGGGGACTTTTGTTTTTCCATCTACAGCATATGAGCAGTAGACGCCACAAAGACAGGCTTGCAGGAAAGCCACCAAAGCCCAAATACAGCCCGTACAGCAAGCTACAGAAGAATACCGCCCTGGCAGTGAGTATTCTCAAGGTATTTGTCACAGAAGGTGCCAGGTAATTGTGTGGTGTATTGAAAATATGGGGGACAATGAGGAATTTCCCCTGGTGTTTTAATTATTCTTGGAAACCCAGTCACCCACTCTGTGGAGAGTTGTGTCTGAGCATTGAACTATCTCATCCTACAGCAAAATTGCAGGTAGTACTGCTCTCAGCAACATTTGGAAACTAGAGCGAGAGATAACTGCTTGCATGAGAGGAAACAAGAAGAGTAGTGGGACAGATCAAGAGGTTACAATTCCCAGTATTCCCTTTTCTCTGTATGCATCTTCTTGTAGTGCATAATTAATTTAGTGGAAGTAATTGTAGCAGGACTGTTGTAGTGGCGAAGAGATCAGATAGCTGTTTAAAAAGGATTAGACAAATACATGGAGGAAAAGATCTATCACTGGTTAAGTATATGAGATGGACCTCAGAAGCCCTCCAGATGCTGTTGAGCATCAACAAGACTCACCTTGTATCCCCCCTAAAAAAAAAAAAAGGACAAGCTTTATTTTCTTAACAGGAAAAGCCATTTTAAAGGATAAGGAAGGCTACAGCTGGGGGAAAAAACCCTTTGCTTACCCAGCTATAACACAGCCTTAACCTCCTACACATACATGTGCGCACACACACATACACAAACACTTTGCCTATGGCTTCTTCACTGCTGGCAATAGATGGACATTTGAGCTGATTCAATAGGGCTACTTGCTACATTCTTTTAAGCTTCACCCCGCTCCAAAAGTAAAAGAGATTTTATCACAATAAAGTCATACAGAATTGCTGTAAGCCAAGAGGGGAACAATATATGGTTCTCCAGATGATGTGGAAATATAATTCACAGCATCCCTTGCCATTCATTGCATTGGTTGAGCTCCTGAGGAACATCTGGAAGGCTTCGTGTTGGCCATTCCTATTTTTACCCAATTATTTGCAAACTACTGTTAATTCACCTTTTTCAAGGCTGAACCAGGGTGTTAAATAAGCTTTGATACTGGGTCCCTTGTTTAAATTATTTACTGCAATATTAAAGCAAATCCTCTCTATGTTCCCCTTGCCTTTTGAAGCTGCTTTGCTCATGTACCATGTGTGTCTCTTTGTGCCTCTTCCCTGCCCCTCATTCTCACTCTCCACAGTCCAAACTGGCTCTGCAGAAGCATCTCACGAAGACCTTGGCTGCCCGGTTCCTGCCAAGTCCCCTGACGCCTGCCACTGTGTGCACTTTGCCCAGCCCACTAACTCTCCGACCAGCTGCTGCTACCCTCTTCCAAGCACCAATCTTTGGACCAGCGCTTTTTCGAACCCCCCCAGGCCCTGTGCGAGCAGCTACAGGCCCTATCGTCTTTGCCCCTTACTAGAGAAACCCCAAGGTTGTTTGGGTGGTGAATTTTAGATGAAAGCTGTACAAGGAAAATTGGGGAGGGTGGGTGACTTTACAAGGCTGTGTTCTGAGCAAAGGAAACACAGAATCTTTGAAGTGGAACTTTTTTTTTATTTGTTTGAGGTTTCCATATGTGTCATTAACTCAGTTATATTTGGAAATAACTCTTCCTGTTGTCTGATACTCCCACAATGCACCAGGCTTTCTAACACTTGTACACCTAGAAGCACAATCTCACTTATCCAGATGGTCTGGTGGTGAAGTCAGGAGTATATTCAAAACATCTGAGGATTTAAAAGTATCTGCCATTGTACACAGAATTCTATTAATTAGGAATTTGTGGATGAGGTCAGACTACATACAATTTAGGAATTGTGTGATTGGAACTCCAAACAGGTTTCTTTTCCAAAACACACCTGCGTGGATATCAGATTTTGATGCAGATCCTAATTCAGTTCACATTCCCCTTCTCACAGCTACAAACCTAAGAAGGGGAAAAAAGTAAATAGTGATGATCTGACCCTGCATCATTCCCATATTGATAAACATTTATTATTATTCTTGTAAGATACTAAGACATCCCTATACTTGAAGAAGGAACTGAAATGGGTCTTTGAATTGAAGGAGAGGAAAGGAGAAGAGAATGTCTGTGTGAGTATATGGAGGCAGGAGAGAGAGAAGTGTTGTTGCATAGGCAGGAAAGCTTAAGTTGAGTTTCTGAAATATTTTTTGCTTATGTATGGAAAGAGGTTTTTTTTTAAAATGTATGGAAAGGATTTATGTGAGTTATAGGAAAGAAGGATATGGAGATCTTAAGGCAGACTTCCCCAGCTGGGTGCCCTTCCAGCTGTATTGACAAGACCCAGAATTTTGAGCCAACATGAGAATTCTGGACTTGTAGCTTCAACGTAACAGAAAGGCACCATAGAGACCATATTTATAGTTATTATGGTATGCATTGCACAGGGCAAAGGAAAAGTAAGAATCTGGAAGCATATAGTAAATGCACAGTAGGGAACTATCCATACATATCTGTCCTGTGTCCTTGAGCATTTGAAACGACTTATTCCCAATTTCTGTTATCATATTCATGCCAGTCTAATGGATCAGACCACTGTTGGGATCTACTTAAACATACTGGATGAGGAAGAAAGGCCAGAGCCAGGATTTCTATGGTGATGTTCATTGGTAGAAGGATAAATGTCAGGAGTGTCAGAGTAGTAGAGTTCAAGGACACCTGAATTTCAGCTTTTAGATGCAAAATCCAAAACATAAAAAGCTACTCTATGAGAAATATGTTACCAAGCACGAGTTCCAATATAATGCCTTTGAATTATGCATATTTGAGCCATATTTTGTGCAAATGTGCTTGTGTTTCTTACCCTTAGATAATATTGTATGCTGCAGTTTCTGGAGCTTTTTGGTTCACTGAAAAAAATGTATCTAGTTCCTAAACATCTAGGGCCAGAGTGGGTCAGAGACTACATCCCTATTTCCTGTTGCAGAGCATAGAATATTGGCCCCCACAAACCAAATTCTACAGGGCAGTGAGAACTGGAAGAGATGTGTGCCAAGCACAGTTGCCATTCACTTCAGCAAATGAAGCAAGCCATGGACGATCTTCCAGTACCAGTAGTTATTAGATACATTTCACGTGCCTCCGTTATGGATATCAGTCAAATACGGAGCGTGAACTGAAATCCGTTGGCTGAAGCTTTCTTCAAGTTTGCTTGCAGCTGTAATAATCTCTGACACCTTAAGAGAAATAAGGGAAATATTTATTGAGCAGTTCTTTGGATATGCCCACTTTCGGGGGAATGGATGCTTGCATTACATTGGAACTAGTCTGCATTTGTTCTTACAGTACTTATTTGTGCAGATCAGCCTTGATATATGAAAAGATAGAGAGGTGATTTGGAGGGATTTTGCAGAGTGCTTTGGGTATTCCAGGAAAGAAAAGCAGGGAAATTTAGAGCTTGGAAATCAGAGCTTTGAATTGTATGACTACAGGTGACCATTTACCAAATATAGGTGTGTATTTAAGTACTTGTTTAGTGGTTGGTTGGTTGTGTCATCCTGGAATGAATGTTCTCTGTTATTTGGCAGAACATTTCAGAACATCACTTTACTGTGTGATGGTATGCTGCCACAGAAGTAACAGAATAAACACAAGAAAAGGAGGATAGATAAAAATCCTTTTCTGTTAGACAATCACATATTAAAGAGTAGGTAGCTCAAGACATTTTTGAGCTGACAGTATGAGCAAACCTTGTTGAGGAGCAACTGGCAGGTCCAGCAAGACACCAGGTTCAAAGTCATGAGGTTCCAGCAGTTCCCACCCACTTTACAACCCCCTCCTTTATCCACGCTTTATCACTTCTACCACTCATTCAGACTGGCAACAGCTCTCCAAAATCTTTCCCAGTTCCTGCAGTTCTGGATGATTGTACAAGCAAGCCTTCTCCAACCAGGTGCCCTCCAGATGTATTGAGCCAAAATATATGCTGGATGAAAATAGAGTGAGTTGTAAATCCCGGCATATCTGGGGAGCACCTTGTTGTGAAAGGCTGGTTTAAGCTAATTGCACCAAGTGTTTGGTACTCCAGATTGCTTTTCAGGATTCTCTTCACTCTTTCCTTTGGAACCCTCAGATCCTTAAAACCGGCCTTAACTCAAAGTCTGGGGCTACTGGGCACTACGGGCAAGCCATAGGAAAGGACGATGATTGTCACACCGTTCTCATAAACTTCCCAGAGGTATGGAGTCTGGCCATTGTTGAGGTTCCTCGATGCCGATTCTATTATATCATGCAACTAGATCACTTTAGCAAGGCATCACGTGAAGCCAATAGTATTTTTTTTCTTTGACTGAATTTCCAGTATGCCAATAGATATGAATCTTATAAACATGTCAACTCAAGCCACACCCTAAATACAAACCTACCCAGTAGCCATGACCTGAGGGTATTACGGAATAGAGCTGGAATCAAACAGGCAGCATTGATGGCCACAACCAAGTGATGAAACATTCCAATCTATGCAAAATACTAATGGAATGATTGTCATTTGGTTTCCAGACCTGTTACTGATTCCTCTGTTATGCTTGTTTCTACGCAGAAGACAAGGTTGAGGTCTCTGGCCAAAATCTGTATATAAAAAACAAAACCGTTCCTGCCACAGGGATCTCCTTGTAGATATGAAATGTTCCTTTTCATCCTAGGATCCCAATATCCATTTCTATTTATTAAACATGGAAAATGTGCCAATTGATTCAGTCTGCTGAAATGTTGACATTGCCATGAAGTACAGTAAACCAGCTGCCTGAATTGGTAGATTTTGAGTGCCAGGATAACAGAATGGCAGATATCTGACCCAAAGCAAGAAGGTCTTCTCCGCCAGTCCCTTTGCAATGAAGCATAGTTACTTTAAACTATGGGAGGATAGACATGAAACAGTATTTATCTCTCTCTGTGTGACTTTTCAGACATAAACCTTCATTCCTTGCCAAGCCAGTAGCTCAAGCCCAAAAGGCTGTCCTTCTGAAGGACAGCAAGAAAATCTTATCCTCCATTTCCCAAGTGCTGGGAAGTTCTGAGAAACTTCTTCAATTTCTAGAGAAGCTGAGGAGAGAGGTAACATTTGTAGAGCAGGGAGGTCTGTTTGAAAGCATCCGTACTGTGTTTAAAACAAACACCTTTATTTTCCCAAATGTGGGTGGGGAACAATACTTGTAGGAGTAAAAATGGTTGGCGCTATCTGGATGGTACCCATGATCTCACCAAACTACACAACCTACAACTTAGTTTTGCAAGTGTTTCTAATAAGAAAGAGAAGAGCAAAGGACGAGACAAATATGTGATACTTCTGGGGAAAAAAATTGTGATGGATTCATGGGGAAAGGTGCAAGATGGCCTAATGTCCCAACATTCAACTTAATATAACGTATATCTTACTTTTCATGCAAAGTTGGATTCATTCTTTAAATGTGATTGTTTTCTTCACCTGTAAAATATTGTCACAAAACTCTGTTTATGCTCTTTTGCGTTTTTGTGTTGAACAGTAACTGTTTCCTAAGGCAGTTACCTTCTGGGGGAAAACATGCAAGCCTCAGAGTTCAACTAACAACTCACACAAAGTTGCTGTATTTTCACCAAGCCCCTGCTTCCAGCTGCTCTTAAATCTACTTCCTAAATAATTTCCAATCAGAAACACTCATTTTGTAGCTATAAGAAATTATGCAAGTTTGCACTATTTTGTTTAGCTTGCTTATTTCGTTATAGGTTTTGTAAATGGTGGCAATTTCATTTTGGGGACATGGATATGTTACTTTATAATTCCAACAGTTTTCTCCAGACAAGCTGGAGATGGAAAAATGACTCTTGGCAAATAATATTTGATAAGTGGCAAAAAGAGGCAGAAATGGGGATAAGAACAGCTTAGAGAACATGAGGTTACCATATCTCATCAACTAATAAAACCATTTACATTTCTCTCCCTTGGCCTTTCTCCCCAAGGATTTCTTTCTTTTGCTTTTAATCTCAGCATCTCAGGATTCCACAACAGCTGCCAAGAGTACTGCATTTGGGCCATGCTGCCTGACAGTACTTCTCAACTCAGCCCAGAGAGCTTCAAATGGGAAAGTTGCCATAGTTAGCTATTTCTAACATTTTTGGGTTTCAGTAAGATTTACAGCACAATCCTATGCATGTTTTTCTTAGGCACTGATCATACTAAGTTCAGTGCCACTTACTGCTCCGTAATTTTGTTTAGGATTACAGCCTTAGCAAATGCTAGCTTTAATTGCATCAGGAAAAGGTGATGTGGTAGATTAAACATTATAGGAATTTGCAAGGAAATCTGTGGTTGCAGAGAATTGAATCAAACCATGTGTAGAAGACTGTAATGCTTATGATAGATTAATTTCAGAGTTCTTGCCAATGTTCTCTGTTGTTTAATGTTAGCCTGTTTCAATTTCCTT